ACTGCAGGTCATAACTTCTTACCTGAAGTTCAGTTCACACTTGGACCGGCGGTCGCCTCGGGTCGCTTTTCCTTCTGCGTCCCCTTTCCCTCATCCACCTGCTGGCCTCCACCACTTGCTAATGTTACAGAATCTGTGGAAGCTCCGTGATAGCCACCACACGAAGTAACGAGTAACGACCCTATCTAAATCCCAGTAACGACTAACGCGTTCCTGATTTTGGCATAATAACTAGTTACCGTGCTCGTTACCACAATAATAACGTAGTTACTGTAACGCGTTACTTAATAACGCGTTAGTCCCAACACTGGTTATATCTGTTTTAGGCCTAATCATAAAGTATTGTAAAAAATGTAATCTTCAAACAGTCAGAAAATGTTTTTAATTGGCCCTGCTAAATTGCATACTTCTTATTTGTGTCTTGACAATAACTTGCGTGTTTATAGTTGCTAGTGAAAGGAAAAAAGACTTTTCTTTATCTTCCATTTTGTGCTTCATAGAAAGTAGGTTCTGTGAATTGATATTGGACTCTGCGCTGTAGCTGGCAGGCTTTGAGCTCTTCAGAGCAGATCACCACATTTTTGGCAAGAGGAAAGGTTGTAGAATCTGTTTTCACACTAACAACAGCCGGCGCGATGATTAAACATCACTGTTCTTCTGATCTGGAATCGTTCTTCCCATTCTGTAAACCCGTCTACTTCCACCGTGAGTTTGCCTCATATTTTCTTGGGTGGTTTTTTAAAATTGTCAGCATTCACATTTCACTGCCACCAGCAACTGTGCAGGAGACACAATAACGCTGTGTATGGAGTGGAAAAACCTGAATTCTGCTGATAATGTCCTTAGTAACTTAAATAAAGATAGTAAACTAACTGCCTTCCCAAAGGGCAGGACATTCTGGATCACTATCATACTATAGTGAGCAATTCCTGTCCCATCACCACTTTCAGTTGTTACTCTGGTCATGACACACCTGATTCCTGCATAAAGAAATACACTTTCTGAAGCTTCTTTTTTCCTTAGATCGTCATTTTGTCTCTTTTACATCAACTTTCTTTTATTCAAACATCCTATCAGCACTTACTAAATGAACCAATATGTGCTATACTGGAAATTAGACATTACAAAAAGTGACGTATAATGCACTGGCAGTCTAAATTGTAGGTTATAAGCTGTGAGCCTGTGGGACATCATACCTTTCTGAAAAGAAACAATGTAATTTGCTCTTAGATCCTGAGCTATCCTGTGTCAGTGTCAGGAATAATTTATTACAAGTAATTAAGTTATCTCTGTTGTGTCACATGCATAAATGCACACAGCTTTTAGGAAGCTCGTGCATTGATTCTGCTGATGTCTGATGCTTCAGTTATTTAAATAAACTCATGAAAAAAACTTTAAGAAATACGGCAGCAACCAATTAACTTCAGCACCTTGTTATAATTTTTTTTAAGCCACACACAAGGATCATCGTAAACTTTTTGTTAGACAGCAGGAATCAAGTTATCTTATAAAAATGCGTGTCTGACTCCCAGTCCAACAGCACCTATTGCACAGAAGCTTGCGTTGTTTCCCCTTTAAAATTCTCTGCATACCGACATCTGCACCTCCAGTCACTGGTCTGATCGTTCGGATCAAAACATCATGCCACAAGCAGAGTTTCATCCTCTAGGTAGTATATACTAAAAGAATTCACTTCAAAGGTGCTTTAATAAATGTCTTTTTTGTGTCAGATTGGGACCGAGAGAAGCTCTTAGAGGCCTGGATGGCCAATGCGGCGGAGTGCTGTCAACGCTCAGGTGTGCAAATGCCCAACCCACCCCCAAGTGGTTGCAATGCTTGGGACACCTTACCTTCTCCCCGGACGCCTAGGACCACCCGCTCCTCCATCACTTCACCAGACCAAATCAGCCTCATGCCTGCTGATGAGGAGTCTTCTCTGGTAAGATAAGATGTCTCTCACCAAGGAAAATATGGAATTATTTGCATTCAAGCTGATACATTAGGCACGTAATGTTTGAGATTAGCCTGCTGTTTAGCACAAAGTGTTATCCAGACTCACATTGCTGCTGTTGTTGTCCATCAGCTATACAATTCAAAGAGTCCTGGAAAACTGGGCACGCTTTCTAATAAAATTGACCAAAGTAAAGGAAAATATCTCTTACTAAATTTTGTTTACTGCTACATCCTGAACTGATAAAGCTAGACAAATTAATTTATAAGGTGGACGTAATGTACCTAAATACGCTTTTTAAATCACTACATTAGGGTTGAAATCCACTTGCCATTTTTTTTCTTTTTTTGCTGAAAACACTGTGACAGCTCTAGATTGATAAATGTAGATCAGTAAATCAGAAAAAAGTTTTAGCCATTGTTTAACTGTACTTATTGATAAAGAACGATCAAATGAAAAAGGATCACAGTCGGCCACAGCATGTTTTTCTGACAAAGAAGCTCCTATAGCAGCAGGGGATAGCTTTAGGCATGGAGGTGCATAGATTAACTGGCAGCATTCCCATAAAATGTGTATAGCAGTGCATATTTAAATAAAATTCATGGAGTCTCAAGATTTTCTGAAGTGTTTCAGCTGAATTCTTTAAAATTTTATGATCACAGATGTCTTTCTGAATAATGATTCACTCTTTCCCAGTAAATATATGTTGCTAGCAGTCATTAGTATTCATGCCAGTGGTCTACCTTGCAAACATAAACAGAAGCAGGGCTTCCTTTTCTCATATGTCATCCAGTGTTTTGTCAGTTATCATGTAGGCAAGTCCTGAACAGTGTTGAGTTTTGTTATGTTATATAAAATATGCTAATTTAAGATACGACATCCTTCATGTTGCGCTGTCCTTCTTTATCAAACATGATTGACTGCTGCACATGTCGTATGTTATATTATGTTATATTACTGCTGTATGTTTGGGCACGTATCACTAAAGATGTCACGTTATTGTTTTCACAGTTTTAACATTGTTACACGTAAGGGAGAGTGTTGATCCTTGTGCGACTGTTTTGTGGGGGTGTAGTAGTCCACAGTGATGCCATCACCAGGGGTTAGTTTTAAACTAATTAAAAATACTGGAAAGTTTTTTAAGCACTTACAGAAGGTGAGTGAATTGTGATCAACTGTAGCTGCTAGACACTTACAGTCTGCACTGAGATATAATGGGGGTGCATACTTTTCGTAAGTAAAATAGTTTTGGTTTTCCCTCCTTTGGCCTTTTGGGTGAAGGGTTGAGGGAGTTAGGTAGGGGGACAGTTGTAGTTCAGTCACTGTAGATAATTATTTTTCAGCTTTCAACAACTACTCCTCCCACAGCATTAAAGTGTGCTCTCTAAGCTTATGAAAGGTGTATTTTCCACCACCGTGTTTACAAAGCCTGCAGTGAGGGAAAGGAACCTTATTGGCCTCTTGCTGTGAAAGGAGTTGTAAACTCCCTGTTTAATTGCCCACCTGTTATCCTGATCTAGTCTGGCATTTCCCATAATTATAAAAAAAATGTTCGGAAATTGTCTTCTTTGTGAGCAAAAAGTAATATGTCCTGCACCAAAACAAAGTTTACAAGGCATCTAGCCTTTATCTCATTTATTGCTGACAGCAACTCATTTTGTTTACTGCTCGCTATTGGAGATAACAATGCTTTATAAAAATCAGGGTTTGTGAGGTCAGCAAGGTCGGTTAGCTTGGGTTTAGACTTTATTCTGGAATAGTTTGCAAAATTGGGAATTGAGATGACAGTGCAGTGTGAGAAATGCATACTGCAGACTTTTTTTTTTTTTTTTTAATATATAACTTTATGAGGCTTCTTTGGAAGAAAATGCTGTTTTCTTGGGTGTTAAATGTATTTCAAATTTGTAGTAATGATTTTTAAACTAAAATGATGGTACCTGGAGGGAGAATTAGATAGTTTTTGACAGTTTCTGAAAAGTTTAAAGACGTATCTTTTTGGATGAATGAATATATCCATTGGCGATGTGTGTTGATGGATAATAGCTAAAGCTGACACACTTTATTAATCTATAAATCAAGGCTGTCAGCTTCAGTTGCTCTCTATCAGGGGTTTACTTAAAACACCAAAACACTCTGGATTGAAATATCAAAGATATGAACATGTCAGACAAATGTCTGAGGGTATCTGAAGTTGTGCATCTGAAAAGGCGTATTTGAACTGCCCTGTGTCAATCGACCGAGTGTACTCAAAGGCCCGTTTAAAGGTTAGAGTTGATTATCACATTCTGCTCTTTCACAGATCAATACCTGTTTTGTTGAAGCACACTGCCTTCTTTATGTCTTGTGAGGATCAGTCTTTCACTGTAACAAGGCCTGTGTATTTGACTGTGTGTCAAATACACTCTTTGTTTGTGATTCAACTCTCTGTGGGTATCTGAAAAATAAATCTAATAATAGAAATGGGAATGAGCCACATGCTTAGCAGAGGTCATAACATTGGCACAGTGGCTTTTCATAAACTACTTTGGGCTACTGTTGTGTATAATTGTACACATTGACATATCAACTCAATAACTTCTCCACCTCTGACATGTGGTCTCACATTAAAATCGCCCTCCTGTTGCAATATTTGGAGAGCATTCCCAAGCCAGGACATTCTTAAACTTTGGCATTTCAAGCAAAAAATAGAAAAATAGAAAAACACAGTGACTTTTTCAAAGGCTGTAAACAGTGGCACGGTTATGTAACAGAGCAAAACAGGACTATAACACAAGGGCCTTTTGAAGTTATACCAGATTTACTTATTTTTTTTATTGATTAAAACTGACTTAATTTGTTCAAAAAATTTAAAGAGTTTAAATAGAGTGTATATTGTTGATGCTAATATTGTGGTTTGATATTTACGTCTCGCAGTGTGGTATCTGCATGTCTTCCCTCTCCGTCTTTGAAGAACCTGTTGACATGCCCTGTGGCCACGACTTTTGTAGATCATGTTGGGAAGGGTAAGTCATATATTTTGGTATGGCCTGAGGATTCTGCAGATTGCTTGGGGTGTCTGTACTATGTGTGCGCAGATCTTATTCAGTGTTTTTGTTCTTTGCATACCTCATTTCTGACTATTATTTGAATGCTTTCAAAGGTTTCTGAATTTAAAAATCCAAGAAGGAGAAGCCCACAACATTTTCTGCCCAGCCTTTGATTGCTACCAGCTAGTACCAGTGGAAGTCATAGAGGGTGTGGTCTCCAGAGAGATGGACAAGCGCTACCTCCAGTTTGACATCAAGGTAGTGATGAAAACAAAAAAGGAAGGAATTGAAATGAATTGAGCTGTGAGCCTCCAGCACAAAATATTCAAATAATTTTGTCGGGGATAAAAGATGATTCTGGTGTTGCCGTATTGTGTTATGATAATACCATTACTCACTTAAATGGAAGGGTATAAGTAATAAAGGTAGAGGAATTAAATCGGTTATGTGTGAAATAATCTTTACTTGAAACAATGACATTTTTTGTTATCAAAGTGCCACAAGCAACAATGAATATTATTCATTTTTCTTTCAACATATTTTTATGTCTCCTTCATTCAGTTTAGAGTTGTAATTACACATTAGCAGTTTGTAAAATAAGTAATTTAGGGGCACTTAACAGAAAGAGTTCAACTTTGCAATGTTCTAGTGAGAAATGCCAACTTTTCTCTGTGACAAAATATATTTATTTATTTTTTAAAGAGCCTTTTTAGTTGAATTATGTTCAGGCTGTTATATTTATTTTGTGTTCAAGAATCTATTCCTTAAATATCGAGCTGTTGTAGATGGTCTCAGAACGCATACAGAGGGAACAATTTTATAGTTAAACATCTTTAACAGATTTTAAAATGACTTTTAAATTAAATTAACACTAAGAGGAAATTATTTCAAGCTTTATTAGTGTCATCTACACTAAAAGGTATACATCTTAATAAAAGATTGTTAAACTTCTGACTGACTTTTGCTTTTATTGAAGGCATTTGTAGAAAACAATCCGGCAATCCGATGGTGTCCAGAGGCGGGGTGCGAAAGAGCGGTACGCCTGAACACCCAGGGCCCTGGAACCTCCACCTCAGATCACCTAAGCTTTCCCCTCCTTCGGGCCCCTGCTGTAGATTGTGGCAAAGGCCACCTCTTCTGCTGGTCAGTATTGTTTTTGCTTTTCAAAACTCCAGTTGTCCAAAAGAAACAGTAATGATGGAGTTAATGGGAAGAAATATTGTTAGGCAAATATTTGGGGTGGTTTTTCTGTTTAGTTTTGTTCACCAATTGTTTTTTTTGTTTGTTCACCATGCCTGACCTCATCATCTAGCTTCTGAAAATGGCTGACAGTTTCCCTCAAAAGTTTAATTCGCACAACATTTGTTACTGGAAATGACATTAGTAGTGGTTCAATTTTAATAGTTCTTCTATCCCTTCACCCATTCACCAATACATTTATACAAGCACTTTTTTTCTACACCTGTTTTTGATTTGTTACATGTGTAACATTCACACATATTCACTGTCCAATGAACACTTCAGCAGTAACTCAGGGTTCAGTATCTTCCCCGAAGATATTTTGGCATGCAGACTGGAGCAGGCGTGGATTGAACTACTTCCAACAACTTCCAATTAGATGACCTGCTTTACCTCCTGAACCATAGCCACCCACAGGATGTTGTGTTAATATGATCCTTTTTCTTGTAGATTTCTGTACATTTGGAAGAAAAAGGTTTTGAATCATGTTAATCAGGGCAGGGTAAGCTAGTTGAAGTAAAGAGATTTAGTTTTGGAGGTACTTTGTATAGATAAAAGTGTACAAAATGTGATTACTGACAGTGTCTGCTTAAGAAATCTTTTATTTGTGAAAGGTCCCTCATACAAAGGAAACTAACAAACAGAAAATTCAGGACTGCTGCTACTTTCCAAACCACAAAGATTTAAGGTGCTATCCTAAAAGCGTTGAAATAGAACTAACAGTTAACAGTTAATTTATTTCACTAAAATGTTTTTCACTAGGTTCTAATTTTTAGTTTAGTATTAGTAACAACCTTGGTCTGTATGTATTGCAGGGAGTGTCAAGGTGAAGCCCACGAGCCCTGTGACTGTGAAACGTGGAAGATGTGGCTACAGAAAGTCAGTGAGATGAAGCCTGTGGAATGTGAGTGTTTGTTTTTGTTCTTGTTGTTGTTTTTTTAAATTGTGGATTTGTTATCTAAAACTGTACAGGAATTGGTAACAAACTTACAGTATGTGGTTTTGTATTGAGACCTAATGTGAAATGGCATTTTTATCTGTTGAACCACAGTAGAGCTGGGCGATAGAACGATAACGATATGTGTTGCGAAATAACGTTTTCTCGATAGAAAAATGAAACTATTGTGATAGACCTCATCTCTCTCTCTCTCTTCTTCTCTTATAAAA